GCGTGCCACCACGCCTGGCTAATTTTTGTATTTTTAGAAGAGACGGAGTTTCACCATGTTGGTCAGGCTGGTCTCAAACTCCTGACCTTGTGATGTGCCCGCCTTGGCCTCCCAAAGTGCTGGGATTACAGGCATGAGCCCCTGCGCCCGGCCAAATACATATAGTTCTCTTATGGGTGATACAAAATAAGATTTAAAGTGGCCGGGCGCAGTAGCTCACACCTCTTATACCAGCACTTGGGAGGCCAAGACAGGAGAGTTGCTTGAGCCCAGGAGTTTGAGACCAGCCTGGGCAACACAGTGAGATCTCTTCTCTACAAATAATAAAAAACATAGGTGGGTGTGGTGACGTGTGCCTGTGGTCCCAGCTACTCTGGAGGCTGAGGTGGGAGAATCACTTGAGCGTAGGCTGCAGTGAGCCAGCTGTGATTGTGCCACTGCACTCCAGTCTGGGCAACAGAGCAAGACCCTGTCTCAAAAAAAAAAAAAAAAAAAAAATCTAAAGTAACCGTAAGCATTTGAATGAAGGGAAGAATTAGTGACTGTAATTTATTTAGATATTTAGATTTGAGTAAGCTATATGTCAAAGGCTAATTAGTTCATATTTTTAAAGGTTAACAAGAAATTCTGAATTGCACTGTAATGGTGGAGGGAGAGAAGTAGAGACATTCTAATGTGTCTAAAGGAATACTTGAAATAACAAACAAGGGGTAGAAATAGAAGAACAATTTTGCAAATGAATAAGATTGATTCAGGGGCCAGTATTAACATTTAAAAATATGATCTGGGGAAACAACTTCCAGAATGGAGAAATGAGCATAGTGGACTCTCTCACCAACAAATAACTGTTTAACTTGTAAAAAGAATCAAATGGAAATTCTGAAGGTGCAAAGTATAATAACTGATATGAAAAAAAGGGACTAAACAGCACATTACAGTTGGAAGGATAAAGAATAAAAAAAAACTTGAAGATAGATCTGTTATAGATTATGAAATTTGAAGAACAGTGGAAAAGAAAAATGAACAGAGCTTCAGAGAAATGTGGAACGCCATGAAATGCAGTAACATATGCATAATAGGAGTGCAAGAAGAATAGAAAATGAAGTAGAAAAAATATTTCAGGAAATCATGGCTAAAAACTTCCCAAAGTTGATGAAAAACATTAATGTATACATCTAAGGAGCTCAGCAAACTCAAAATAGGATAAATACAGAGATTCATAGCCAGACACATCATAGTGCAAATATTGAAAGCCAAAAGCAAAGAGAAAATGATTCATCATGTAGAAGAGAACCCCAAGAAGATTAAAGTTGATGACTTCTCGTGAGAAAAAAATGGGAACAAGAAGGCAGCGTGATGACATATTCAAAGTACTGAATGAAAGACTGTCAACCAAGTATCTTAAATACAATAAAATTATCTTTAGGAAATAAAGGTGAACTAAATACATTGCTAGATAAACAAAAGCCGAAGGAATTTGTTGCCAGCAGACCTGCCTTACAAGAAATACTAGAGAGAGTTTTTTAGGATGAAAGCAAGCAATATCAGACAGTAATCTGAATTCACATGAAAAAGCAAAGAGTGCTTGTAAAAGTAATTGTGTAGTTAATTATAAAGCACAATACAA